ACTGAGCTGTTTACGAGCAGGAAGAGTGCATAAGACACATGACTGTATGATATATGAATACTGCACTGAGCTGTTTACGAGCAGGAAGAGTGCATGAGGTACATGACTGTTGCTGTGTTTTAGAGCGGTTCTCGTATGAGTGGGAAACCTCGATATGACAAATTCGTAGTCGTATTGTAGTCGTATCGTATGTTGTCACGTTGTGTTGGAATGCAAGACATTATAATGGKAGAAAAAAAATCATAAAACGAAAACTAAGGAAGATAATTTTCTCCGAACATGTAACTTACGCTATATTTATGAAATACTGATAAAATTTGTTTTGATAAATTATGCTAGACAATATGGAAAAACGTTTTTTGTTCAGGTTCTACGATGTGCAAGTTATCGTAAAAATTGAACACAAAATAAACAGAACGATTTTTTTACATTGTTCTAATAAACAGTTCAAGTTTTAGTTCAAGTGCTAACGCGAAGGGCACAAAAAGAAACACCAAATGGGCATTAAAACTGTTGCAAGGTAGGTCAGCTCATTTTTTTGAAGCAAATATGCGTTAAAACTTAGCTAATATTGAAAAGGATAAAGAAATCTACAGAAATAATCTTACTTTCACTTTTAGTTACTTACGAGTTGTTGATGCAACTTTCTGAATGGTGCCATGAGCGAAAAATTTGCAAGCCCTTGTTGGATCTAACAGAGGCCGAGCTAAATGACATCCTGAGGAGGTTTTATGCAGAGGCCAGAAACCAAAAAGGTGAAGAGTATAGCCGCTCCTCGCTGCTTGGGTTCAGGAATGCTGTTGAACGTCATTTTGCAGTCAATGGTAAAGCAATGAAGCTCACAAACAAACCAGCATTTTACAGCTCTAACAAGATACTGGAGAGCAAGCTGAAGGTCAACAAAAGAGAACAGAAACAAAATACCAAACACAAACCAGTCATTGAGCCAGCCGATGTGAGTAAAGGCAAGAAAAATCCTTTTTTGAGCCACGAGAATCCTTACGGCCTCCTTCGGCGAGTGTGGTTCATAGTGACCCTGTATTGGTGCCCCGTGGTTGTGAGGGCCAAAGACAGCTCCGCCGAGAAAGCTTTACTTTTGATCTTGGCGGTGAAGGAAAGGAATATGCAACCATGACTCACGAGGAGCAGACCAAAAACCATCAGGGTGGCTTTTGTGACAAGTAGAGTTATGAAAACGAAACACGGTTGTATTCAACATGTGAAACTGGCGATTCGCTGTGGTGCCTGAAGTACTATCTTTCCAAACTTAACCCCAAACAACAAGCGTTCTTTCAAAGACCAGTGCCAATCTTTACACCAGAGGACCCAGTGTGGTATGAAAACAAGCCTCTAGGTGTCAACAAGGTGGGTGATATGATGAACTCAATCTCTATCGGAGCCGGCTTGTCAAAAGTCTACACGAACCACAGCGTCAGAGCAACAGCTATCACCATGTGGTCAAATGCTGGAATCCCGACTCGTCACATAATGAGCATCTCTGGACATACCAATGGACAGAGTATTCTATCTTATAACAGAAGACCATCGGTCCAACAACTAAAGACCTGCTCGGACGTGATTTCCAGTGCATTGACCGATTCAGAGGGCGAGAGTAGAAGGCTTGATCGAGATCCCAGGGCTGTTTCGTCTGCTTCCACTTCTGTACAAGTTGTACAGTCTGAGATGGCCATTAACTCCATTCCAGAGTCGATCTTCAATGGCTGCTCCATCCAGAACGTGAATGTCTATGTTGTCAAGCGAAATTGACATTGACTTTTTTAGCTGAACTTATTAGTAAGCTTCGTTTTTTTTAGAACTTTTGAGTTCTGACTCAAACGCTATTCGACTTAGCTAAAAAAGCCATTTACAAGTAAATGTCAAAAGTTTTGACCAATAGCAAGCATTCTTTCACAGTGGCTGTCAAAGAACTGTCAAAATTAGCCAATCACAGTGTAGGAAGTTTGGTTGTGAAATGTTGACGTGTTTTATGAAAAAAACTTTTGTAAGTTATAGAATAACCTTTGAAGTTTTCAAAAGTAAAAAACCGAAAAACCTTCGTCTTACTTTCTGTCCTCTAATGATAATGAAAACTAACTATCTTAGTGAAAATATTCAAAAGCTCACAATAATCGGAGCTGTTTGGTCTATCGCCTTGCTTTCCTTGAATGACAAATTTTCGAAAAACTTTTCGCTTATCTTATTTTGTAAATTAATTATCGCTGCGCTCGTGGTTCCACTTTAGTTTTGATCATTTTAAGACGTCATCTATGATCAATAAGAGGACAGACAATGGAAATCTATGTGCGATTTGTTAAGTTGAAAAGTAGTCAGCCCCCTTAAGTAAGGCAATTTTCGCGAAGCGTGATTTCACGACCGTTTCAAAATTATCAATTCGCGACTTTCACATCCCCATAATGGCTTGCGTTTTTGGGGGGGTAACCAATCAAAAAACTGTCCCAAATTGAAAGGTTTCTTAATTGAATTTATACTATACCTGCTTTTATCTGTACAATACTGATTATCAGTTTATTCCAAGTTATTTTTGCGTGTACAGATCATGAAGAGTTTTGGTCTTACAGAAAATGTATTGATTTACGATAACAAAATGTTTAAAATGTACCTTAAACGTCTTCAAGCTTCTATCTTTTTCTGTTTTTCTGTTTTTTTTTTTTACTTCTTCATTTTATCTTTGGATACCAAACRAGGTATTGTCAACATTGTCTGATCAGCCTTCAGCAAAATAAGTGGGTTTTTACCCTCTGGCTACCCCCCAAAGACGCAATTGATTATGGGGATGTGAAAGTCAGCGTCTAATTACTCGCAAATACCAACGGTAAAGTAAAGAATGCACAACTTGGACAATACGAGCACTTTGAAACTTGACGGACCTTGACTGGAACACGTGAATATTTTTCACAAATTCGAGGCTCAGCCTGAGTAAATGAGTCTATAATCAAGAAACACAGCGGTAAAAGGGTCTATTGCTCATTGTTCAGTTCCTAAATATAGAGAGAGACAATCAAATTACACAATCTTTGTCAGTTCCTATGTTTATTATAATACAGACTATTAGTCTGTAATTATTAATCAATTTATATAACTATATTATGAGATATTATAATCTTGCTATTACAAATAAATATAAGCTAATAGGTTGCTATCAATAGACGTCACTTCCGGTAATAGCTCTTTTTTGATGGCTTGTAGAATACTGGAGGTTGTTTTGATCTCTTGTTTTCTGGTTTGATGTCGTGAAAATAGTCAAATACAATAGTTTGAGGATTTATTTTGATATGTTTTGACTTAGCATCCGCTAGTTGCCCCCAGTCAATCGCTTGTTTGCCCCCCAGTCAACTCCAAAAAGTCACGTGATTGATAGTAAGCAATAGCAACTGAAATTAGTTGTGCCCTGGTCCAGTAGTGTTGATAATCACTCAAACGATCCGTTATTTTCTTGTATTGTTGGCTCTTAGGTATGTTGATACGCGATATCCGTTTACACTCAATTAAAGAATCGTTGTCGGGTTCAGAAACATAGAACATAAAAGCTGAGACCGAAATGGCACATGGGAAATGACATTATATTGTAATTTATTCATTTGCGCCATCAATGCAGTCGGTTTATTAGAATGCGAAACGCGTAAAAACAGTGGATGATGACACGGGTCGCCGGTCACAGAATGAATCTAATTAACGTACTTCCCATACGGCCTTTCGGTCTCAGCTTCTATGTTCGATGTTTCTGAACACGACAACGATTCTTCGATTGAGTGTATACGTATAATAGTTAAGTAGTAGACTCTAAACCCATTTTTTCCTTCTTCTCCTTTATTTATTTATTTATTRTCAATTAGTACTAACGAAATAGTCATTTTCTTTCACGGGTTGAAAATTTCTTTAGTGATTAAAATTACTAAAATCAACAACTACTACGAAGCCATCAATTTTATTTTTATTTCAGGGATATGTTTTTTTTTTTTTTTTTGCCCTAGCTACGCAGTAATTTCACTTGTAAAATCTCTCAAACAATAAACTGCAAAGTCCAATACATTTCTTATTACTAAGGACAATATTCATGGACTTCTTCCGCAACACAACCTTCCTTACAGCACTCTTCTACTAAATTATATTGGCGGGCTGACTGTCTCTTCAAGTAGTGGTTCGCTGTGTTTTCGTCGGTTAAAAAGCCATCAACTATCACAAAAAATATAACAAAATCAAAACTAATGCAGCTACACTTACTAACAGTACACACTACGTCTAAATATACAAGTGAGTAGAATTGTTCGTAAGGTTTCTCCTTAAATTCAAATTACGAATTTTCCTGGAATCCGCAATTTTCCTCCCTATGCCCAAACCTAACCTGGAACTGCATTCTAATTCGATCTGTAAGTTAGCCGTGCCGTGCGGCGCCTTGACTCAATGCCCTGATAAGCTCAGAGATTGTTTCAGATTCCAATCTGTGACTGAGTGAAACGTGTCTTGAAGTACATAAGTATAGAGTTTATTCTAGGGTCTTATCTATAAGTAAGGTGTTTCTTCGCATAGATAAAAACAAAGGTTGTTTCACATTTCGAACTTACCCATTGTAGTGTAGTGTAGTGTAGTGTAGTGTAGTGTAGTGTAGTGTAGTGTAG